CCGGATTGTTGTTGGGGGCAATATGCTGACTCTGTAAAACCGCTTAGAGAGGGCTGAAAGCCCTATGAAGCGGTATATAAGTCTAACTGCTATAGTTTCTCTTTAAAATGTTTCTCCTTTTCACATCCAGAGAAATATTCTGCCTTTTCAATATATCCTAGGATATTTCATTTTTCTGGGAGAGGGCTGGGAGATAACTTCCTACAGAGAGATTCAACCTAGAAATAAGGAGAAACTTCCTGACAGTGAGGACAATTAACCAGTGGAACATCTTGCCCTCAGAAGTTGTGGGGGCTTCATCACTGGAGACTTTCAAGAAGAGATTGGGCTGCCATTTGTCAGAAATGGTGTAGGGGCTATGAGGTCCCTTCCAACTCTGTTAATCTGGTCCTTTGCAGACTAAGAAACTTTGTGGAAAGTCTTGCAGGAGGAGCTCCTCCTGACATGCTTTATAAGGTTAGATATTGAGGAAAAGGCCAATTCTTCACCAAAGAAGAATTGCATGGTTGAAGGATGGTGGGCCTTGTAGTCCAATGACATCAGGAGGTAGGCCACGCCCCTCTTCAGCATCAATGCCTTCCTAATTTGCAGCTATTGTAGCTGCGGATTAGCGCATGCAAGTTTCTTTTACTATTGCAATGATTTTCGGTCTCTTTTATTTAAAAAAAAAGAATCCCGGTGCTTAGTTTCAATCCTTAGGTTTTTCTCGGCGGGGGTTGGGGTTGGGTCAGCCTCTCTGGCGTTGCTCGGAAGCGTCCCAGTCCCGCCCCCCCTCCCCGCAGCGGCTTCGGTGAAGGGGTTAAATACAGAGAGCTTTCCTCTTGCGCCTAGAGAGGAGGCAGGAAAGGGGGTGGGGGAAGGGGGTGGGTGGGAGCCCAGTTTCCTGCCCATCTCCAGACATCTCTTATGCCAGGGCTGCGGAGATCTCTTCGTGGGGAGGGGCGCGCAAGGGGGCCAGGTGAGCAAGGACGCTGCAAGAGGAGGGAGGCGGAATCGGCATCCCCAGGTGCAGGAAGGGAGGGGGGAAAGCGTGGAGGTGATCTTTTTACAGCTGGTCCCCTTCCCTTCTGAGTCCCCGCCTTTGCTTGCAATGTTTTCTGCTGGCTGCTGCCCGCCGGCGAGGGTTGCCCAAGGGGGAACCCAGAGAGGGAGGATGGGGAGGGGAGAGGAGGCAGAGGAGAGGAAATCCCCACATGCAGGAAAAGAAGGGGAGAATCCTGGGGTGGTGGTGGTGGTGGGAGAGAAGCGTGGAGATGGTCTTTTTACAGCGGGTCCTCTTCCTTTCTGAATTCTCCTATCTTTACTTGCAGCCACTGCACCTCTGCTAGAGTGATTCCCCTTGACATTATTTCTTCAAGACTCCTTCCTTCCCATCAACACAACATCTAGCGTGTAGCTTCCTGGTGTTGCTGTTCCCCAACTGCTGACGGGGGAGGATCGGGTCCCCAAAGTAAGTCTGGAGGGATAGAAGAGGTGGAAGAACTGAGTTCAGAGGGAAGGTGGCTGAAGGGGCTCCCTCCGAGGTTATGAACCCTGCTAGGAGGAGGCCAGTGGCATCTTAAAAGCAGGTGACAGAGACCTGAGAGGCGTCCAGGTGGGTTTGTTTTGAGATGGAGCCCCTGAATCTGCCTCTCTTTTACATGCCCAGGTTCCCTTTCTGGTGACTGCTGCCTCCCTCTTCATCTCTGCCCCACTAACTGTGTGGAAGTTTTCAATTTTACTTCTACCAGGTAGTTCTCCACTCATGATAACAATTGAGCCCAAGATTTATGTTGCTAAGTGAGACATTTGTTAAGTGAGTAATTATGATAAATTCTATCCTTGCCAGGAAGAAAGATGGAGGTACGGGACTCGCCTGGATCCCAGGCAGGAAAGAGAGCGCCAGTGAGGGAAAGTGTAACTGTGGCAACACGGGAATATCTGAAGGGTTTCACTACATCTCAGATTAAGCAAGAACCAGAAGAGGGGGTGGACCTGTTGTGTGAGATCCAGAAAAGAGAAACTCTGAGTGCTCCATATTTGGATGGAAGAAACTCTCCATCTTCTCAGTCCTCACCAGAGAATAACACTAGGCTGACTTTTAGCAGAAAGGCCGATCTCCATCAATGGTCCTTTGGAGGAAAAGCTGCATCCGAAACCTTGCCAGGCCTGGGCTGCATGGAAGTTCCTGAATTTTATAAAGGCCTGGATTCCCCAGTGGAAGTGAAGGAAGAGCTGGTGGAGGAGGGCAAGCTCAGCGTGGCGTTAAGATGCCAACGCTTCCGGCAGTTTCACTATGAGGAAGCTGAAGGGCCTCAGAAAGTGTTTGGTCAACTCTGGGACCTCTGCTGCCAGTGGCTGAAGCCGGAGCGTCACTCTAAGGAGCAAATCCTGGAGCTGGTGATCTTGGAGCAGTTCCTGATGATCCTGCCGCTGGAAATGCAGAACTGGGTTCGGGAACAGTGTCCGGAGAAGGGGAGCCAGGCGGTGGCTTTGGCCGAGGACTTCCTTCGGAGGCTGCCACAAGGAGATGAGCAGAGGGTGAGCATGGAACCTCGTCATGTTGGGCACCCTTGTAGAGCTCAGCCTACGGCCACAATTGAACCCCAAATTAAGTGAGACATTTGTTAAGTGAGTTTTGCCCCATTTTGTGACTTGTTGTTAAGCGAGTCCTTGCGGTTGTTAAGTTAGTAACATGTTTGTTAAGTGAATCTGGCTTCCCCATTGACTTTGCTTGTCAGAATGTGGCAAAAGGGGATCACATGACTCCAGGACACTACAACTGTCATAAATAGCCAAGGTTATTGAATTTGATCATGTGACTGTTGGAATGACACAATGGTCATCTGTGTATATAATGGTCATAAGTCACTTTTTCAGTGCTGTTGTGCCTTCAAACGGTCAGTAAATGAACTGTTGTAAGTTGAGGACTATCTTTAGCCCACCATAGGAGTGTTTTGAATGATGGAATAAGCAGCCTAAAATCAGTAGGAAAGGCTTATTGAAAGACATCAGCTTTTGTGGCTCATAATCTGATGCTCTGCATGACTCCATTTTAATTAGTTTGAGAGACAGACTTGGGGATGCAGATTTGGGGAAGCAGAGCCATGGGAAACTGGTTAAAAGCCTCTTATAATGGGTTATAAACCCAGTGTGTATGTTGAGACCTGGAAAAAGAAAACTAATGGCAGAAGAAGACACTGACCCATCGAGTTTCATCCTTTAAATTTATTTGCTGCATTAAAATCTCCCCCCAGTGCTAAATTCAATGAAAATACAGTATTTTTTATGCACAGTTGAGAAATTGGGATAGCTAAACGGGATCCATTTTGATTGGCATTCTTCTCAGGTTCAAAGATGGTCTTCTCCATCATTGCCAATCTGATTCAAATTAGGACATTTTAAACTTGTTCTGGACAACTAAGCTTTGCTTTTCCTTATAACTTTACCAATCTTAAAAGCAGCCTAGTTGTGTCACATCATTGCTTCCTGAACCCCAGTGGGTTTGTAGCCTTTGAAAATTATTTTGCCAGTTTGAGAACGGCTGAAATGAATCTGATTTATCCTGATTTGTGTATACCAGCTGTTGGCTGAGACTGAGAAGAGGTGTCCCAATCGTCTCCTTAGACATCTTCATGTTTCTCACACACAGGAAGATCTGGCAGACTTGCCTGATGAGCCTTCCCATTCTGAACTGGAACTGTTGGATATTGTGAAAGTTGAGGTCCTCATGGATGGAGACAGTGAGTAGACCAAAATGCTTTGAAATACCTAGGGATGAAATCTGGGAAGCGTAGGTAGAATGTGGTTGATCAATCTGAAATTACATCTTGATTATGCCCTTTGGGGTATTTCAGGGTGCTTCTTACTACAAATCTTAGTGACAGAATTATTGGTTCTAATTGTCACTAAATGAGGACTACCCACATTCATTCACCACCACCCTGCAGTCTTATCCTCCTGCAGTTGATGGGGAGGACACCATTGTGCAGTCCTACTGCACATTGTGAGTCTCTGTGAATGGCTTTCCTATTAGAAAGCTGGTTGCTGCAGGGGGGAAGATGCTATTGCTGGACTAGGAGCGGGGACACCCAAGTTCCAGTCTCTCCACAACCATGAAAGGTCCCTCAGGCTCAGTCCCAGTGTTGGGTTGGGATTCAGCAGGTCTACACTGGGGCCGGCCTGGAAATATCAAAGGATCAGCTGCTGATGCCTCTGGCGGCCAAAACGGGCCGTGTGCACACACCCCCCCCCGCAATGGTGGTATTCAAATAATTTAACAGCAGGTTATCTGACCTAATGACTGGCTGGGTAGGCCTAGCCAGGTGGTCATGTGACTGGGTGGGCGTTGCCAATTTGACATCACTCACCACACCAAGCCCCGCCTCCTGGCCACTTGCCTCAAAGGCAAAGGTGAGATTCAACTGGTTCTGACTGGTTCAGGCTAAACCCACCACTGGCTGGCCCCGCCTGCATCCATTTTTTGGCCCGTTTTGAAGTCTACAAGTTTTAAAGTTGCCAAGGTTGGATACCTCTGAGCTAGATGTTCTGATAGATTAGTGTTTTTCACATTTGGCAACTTTTAAGATGTGTAGACTTCAACTTCCAGAATGCTGTGTGGGCAATTCTGGAAGTCCACACATTTTACGATTGCAAGTTTGAAAAACCCTGTCAAAAATGGGCAAATTAATATCCTTTTTAAGGATCTGTCCTTTGGACTCTTTAAAAAAAACATTACAGACTATCTTGAGCAGCATATCTATGAAGGATTTTTGACCCTCTTTAAGCTTATTTTCTCAGAATTGGTTCTAATCTAAAACTGTACATAAAGTTTATTAGCACAGAAATTATAATTGGAGCAAAGAAGAGGAAGCAGGGTCTTTAGGAATACAACATTATGGTGTTGATGAACTTTTCTTGTTTTCTTTATTTTCATATCTTGGCCTTAAATCAACCAAAAGACATTACATTTGTTCAACATAATCTATATATGGGATATGGGAAATTATATCAATTATTTTCACAAGGTTTTGCTACAGTCCAGGTGTTACTGTGTTTAATAGTGTGATTTTATACTATTTCATATGGTTGTGTAATAATCCAAATTCAGAAGGGGGAAAATGGGGTGAAGGCTCACTTTCTGTTTGCCAGAAAATGTTTAAAAGTTTAGTTCAGCGGGGCAGGAAAAAGCACAATAAATATGATGTGTTGAGAAGTCTGAAGTGTGTGCCCACACAAGCTATGAATTCCTCTTTACCTTTCAAATCCAGATTGTTATATAGCTTCAAGTGAGATAATTGAAGATTTGAAATTTTCATTTTCAGGCCGTTTTTTGGGCTGTTTTCGTCCAGTTTTGGATGTTCACTATTAGTAAATAAATAGAGAGGGAAATTAAGTCAAAGGCCTCAACAATGTACAGGGTTCCATCTCTATTTATTTGCTACTACTGAACATCCAAAACACCCTGAAAAATGGCCTGAAAATGCCCCCAAAACAGACCAAAAAACTGTCTGAAAATAACTGAAAAACAGCCCGGAAAATTGGTGGGGGTGGGGCCAGCCGGTTTGTCGGACTGGGTATAATTTTAATAACCGGTTCATCCGAACTGGGCCAACCAGCTGAATTCCACCTCTGCCCCCGTGTTTTGTTTTCACCCTCCATGGTCTCCTGCCTCCACACACTGCCAGCCAAAAATGGCCCGAAATTAGGGCCCAAAACAGCCTGAAAAAGTCTGAAAGCTAGATTGTGAAAGGAGATAAAAAGTGCTCCGAAAAAAGAAAATGACAATTGGAGGCAGTTCTTGACTTACGACAATTGAGCCCCAAATTTATGTTGCTAAGCAAGAACTTAAATGAGCTTTGCCCCATTTTATAACTTTTCTCATCACACTTGTTAACTGATTAACTGCACTTGTTAAATTAGTCATACGGTTGTTAAGTGAATGCGACCATGAGGGTGCTTGCATAGTCATAAGTAAGAAAAATGGTCATAAAACACTTTTTCCAGTGCTGCTGTAACTTTGAATAGTCACTAAATGAATTATTTAAGTCAAGTACTAACTGTCGTTTCTGTGTTGCTGTCAAGATGCCTGTATCGACTAATCCATGAAATTAGCAGGCATTGAGTGCCACTCTGAAGAGATTTGAGTTGAATTTTTGTGCAGTATAATTGATGTCCTCCTAACTTGCTTGTTCTTCTAGGAAGCTCCGACCACCAAGAGTACTTCCTCGGAGAAGTGACAGACTTGCCCAAGGGAATGTACAGCAACAGGAGGATGAAGGCCACTTTTGACTCTCCTCCAAGGAGCCAGAAAGTCCCACTGAAGGAAAAACTGCACAAATGCCAGTATTGTGGGAAGCTCTTCGACTTCAGCTCCCACCTGATTATTCACGAGCGAACCCACACAGGGGAGAAACCCCACAGATGCTCAGAGTGTGGGAAAAGCTTCATCCAGAAGGAATCTCTGATTATCCACGAGAGGTGTCATATGGGGGAGAAGCCCTACAAATGCTCATTGTGTGGCAAAACCTTCAGTGATAAAATCAGGCACCTCATCCACGAGAGAATTCACACCAGGGAGAAGCCGTACAAATGCTCCGAGTGCGGGAAGAGCTTTGGCACTCGCTGCAACCTCCTGAGGCACCGGAGAGTTCACACGGGCGAGAAACCGTACCGTTGCTCAGACTGTGGCCAGAGTTTCCGATACAGACCGCAGTTAGTGATCCACGAGGGAACCCACAAAGGGGAGAAGGCTTATAAATGTGCAGACTGTGGAGAAACCTTCAGTCAGATGCG